TTCGACAAACAATACCAACCATACGAGATAGACTATCTTCTTGTAGAAAATACTTTACACAACTTTGTGTAAAGTTCGCCAGGTAAAATATTTATCGTGTACTTATATACGTGATATTTTTTGAAATTCTTTAATACTTGATGCTTTGTTTCAGCTCTTTCATAGCAAAATTAGTACAGCAATTATTTAAATGTAAACCATTAAATGCCGTTGGCGCAGAACAATTGTTGTTAGATGTCCATATGTTGAAAACAGCTTTACTGGATCTTCCATTGACAGGTTATCAAATACAGAGAAAAGCTCCAGTAACATACACGAAAGTAATTGAATACTTTAGAAAGTAGACAATATTAAATTTATTAAAGTACATTCGTATTTAATATATTATTTATCATATAGGTTGTAGTCAAAGGTATGGCAAATGCTGAAATGATATTGAAGATTGTAATGTCTCCAATTGAATCTCCTAGCGATTTCGTGAAACAGTGCAATATACGCTTGCCTGATTTGCAATCCTCAGAATTCCAAAAAATTTTGGATATGAAGGTAATTTTTGCAATGAGTAAAATTACCGTCTATTATATTTTTCATCAATAATCTAATGTAATTAATACATACGTTTTAGGGATTGAAAAAGACAGACCAAGATCAATTGCTTAAGCAATTTAAACAATCTGAAAACACAGATGTCGCAGAAGCTGCGAAAAATCATGTAGTACATAATAGTCCAGAACACGAAGCTGGAAGAATTAAGAGACTAGAGAAGCTCATCAAGAAACGAATTTGAGGATATTAGATACAATATCTATTGTAACTGTATATAGTTAATTTAGGAATTCTCTTTTATCTTAAAATATATATAATAAAAATTCTTTATACAAAAATGAAAGATATATGAATGTGGGGATACTTTTATCAAATAAATACAGTACTAAATTTATTTTCTCCTTTATTTTTTTATATAATTTGATAATTTGGGCAATGATCTTAACCTTGTTTCTGCGCGAGTTCCTTCGCCTTAGCTTTTTCTAATTTCGCTATCCTTGCTGCGGATTTACTTCCCAATAAACCACCGCCCCAGTGACGCCTGATTTCGTCATATCGATCATTGAAGTTCGTCTTAATGGCTTCAACGATCTTCGCGAAGTTTGCCCTATCGCCAGAATCCACCTAAAATAAGGATAATATATTTTAATAAAACTGAAATAAAAGAGAAGAATCAGATTTTCGTAAATATGTATCAGATATATTTTAATTTCATAGTGTATCATTGGATTGGCTCTTGGGTACTCATCATAAAAATAATATAGTTTAATTAAATGTAAATTAAAACAAAAATACAAGAATTAGATATAATTACGTACTTGAGTAAGAGCAACTGTTGAGCAGGTCTTACGTCTAACCAGAAGTCCCAAACGGGCCTTGCCTTTAACAATACAGTATGGTACACCCATTTTACGACACAAGGCAGGAAGGAATAATACGATCTGCGTCAATAAAGAAAAAATTGATTAGGTTGGTACATATAATTTCTTACAAATATATATATATATAGTAATGTAAGACGGTACTCAGGTGTCATATATATCATTCCTTGAATACAAATATAAAAACATTTATATTCTCAGGTGAAGAAATTCAGGCATCACAGTTAAATAAAATGAAAATTATAAATCTACTATGAATCAGACATTTAGATGGATAACTAACCTCAATAGGATCAACATCATGAGCTATAACAACTAGTTGAGCTTTCTTCTGCTCCACCAGTGTAGTCACCGTGTTGGTTCCACTGCGAATGACATTTGGTTTTTTTGTCGGCGTATCTTCCTTCTTTGCAATCTTTTGTTCAGCTCTCGCCTTCAACCTCGCATTCTTCATGGCTGTTGATTCAGGGCGGTATTTTTCCAATACCTTGAATAACTGTGTAGCTACAACATAAGAACAATATTTTATTATATTTTTTCCATATGTTTGTGCATATGAATAGGATTAAACAATTCTTTAAATTATACATGGAATATACATCTTACCAGTTTGTTTATCCAATGTTTGCGTAAACTGGTTTATCGTTGGGGGTACTTTCAATCTCTTCTGCAACACAGATCTTTGGCGCTGAATACGGATGTATTTGGGCCATCTTACAAAGCGGCTGAGATCACGAGCCGGTTGAATGTCCTGGCCTAAATTTTAACAGAATTTCACAGTAATATGTGACTATTCTATATAGATTATAAAGCACAGTATAACTCTGTTTATTCAAACATGTCGGGGAAAATAGTTCCAATAATTGAATGATATGGATAATAGAAGTTGACTTGCTTTTCTTTCTATCAATACTTATTAATTTCAATAATAGGAGCTGAAATTTAGAAAACTCAAGTTAAGCATGTCACGAGTTTATCTTTATTTAATTTATATTAGTGGACACAGAAAAACACACAAATAGAATACAGATAAACAGAGTTCTACTGTATTAATCAGAAAAATTATACTGACTTACCAATGCCAAAGTTACGTGTTCGTTTTTCAAAGAGTGGATTGGTCACTTTCTTCGGTTCAACCTTTTTGACTGCCAACGGTGCGGCAGCTACCTTCTTCCCAACCTTCTTCTTAGGCTGAAATTATAAAGGGAAATAGAAATAAACATTAATTTTCACATGCAATATAGTAGAGTTTTAATACATTTCTTTGTAATATATTCATGTACTTTTAACGAAGTATACAAAACTAAATTAGAAATATTTTTATGCAGGAAATATCTTTTAAGAATCCAATGGTTTAATCTCTCTCCTTTATCTCATGAAAATTATGCATTTATTGCTGAACGACAATCTTTTATTTTTTACCAAGATCTACGAAATTTTGCTTTGTATAAAATTAGGTTATAAAATGTTAAATTAATGTTACGTGATCGAATCGATTTATTTGAACGTTGTACCCAGAAATAGCATTTTTCTGTAAAAGTAAGATTTCAGAGGATTGCAATAATTAGATAACATAATTACTGAACTAATTGACTGTGGAATGAAAACATATTTTTGGTCTACACGCCTGAAGAACATGCTCGAGATTCGAACCAATTCAAACGTGGATATTCGACGCAGCCGACGCCGCTTAACAAAAATATTATTCGCGCACGATGATTCGATAATCTTACCTTTTTCTGAACCATTTTTCTAGCTAGAAATCCAAAGGATTTCTGTAAATTTTATTGGATAAAAACGCGATACCTCGCTAAGCGCGACGCAAAGTACGGCGTCGACACCGTAAAGAGGGGTGTCGAACCACAGCGCAGTGTTGCCAACCCTTTGTTCTAACTTCACCCCAGATTGAATTTGAAATCCCCCCAAATCCCCCTAAATCTTAATTTTTGTAGAAGCACAAATCGCCAAAAAGTAAATAATGATAACTATGTAATTATTTTTTTTTAAATAAACCATATTTTACAATTTTATATGTTATTTATTTCCATAGTCTCGTAAAACAGGTTGATTTCGTGACAATCGTTCTGATTTTTATGATCGTACATAGATACATTAAATTTTTTTATCATTGCCTCCGTTGGCTTAAAATTAACGCATGATATATTATCAATCTTTAGATAGTATCTGACCATCAGTATTATCGCACCCATGATTCTTTGCTGAGATTGGACTATTCCTTTAAAACTAAAAGTATAAATCAATCAGCGCGACGAATTATAAAACGGTTGCAAAACTGCTGAGTCTGCTGAACGCAGCCAATGATTGATGAACATTTATTCCCCCCCAAAAAACCCCTGGCATTTTTGTACCCCCTAAAATTCCCCTCGCAGCTTAAAAACCCCCTAAATTTGGGGGGAAAACCCCCAAGTTGGCAACGCTGCCACAGCGCCATCGAAGTGACGCCATATTGATACTCGTCAGTTCTGCAGTGTTGCCAACTTGGTGGGTTTCCCACCAGATTTGGTGATTTTCGAAGATGTCTGGTGGCAAGATTTTTGGTTTAAATTTTTTATTAATTAATTTCGGCGATTTCGACAGCTAAAAAGAATAAATCTGAACAAATCACGTGTAACTTTGACTGCGGTCAAAAGGCCTGTTCTTTTTTACTGAACTTTTGCACCAGTTCATCTTTCTTCCTCTTCTTTCCTCCTGGAGAGAAAAGAAAGAAAGATGAACTGGTGCAAAAGTTCAGCCAAAAAGAACAGGCCTATTGTCTCACTACAAATGCTTTGAAGCGTTTGGTTGACCAATTAGAAAAAAGAATTTTACAAATTGACCAATCAAAAATTGCTTTAAAACATTTGTAGCATCGCGTTGACCGTACCCTTCAAAACAGCGGTGATTTTAAACCATTGCAAATATTTATTTATTTCAAAAGAATATAAAAAGTTCAATATATTTTCAAAAATATTAATTTTAGTAATTATTATATAATATTAACTTAATAATTCATATTAAAGATAACAGGCCTTTTAGAAGAAAAGATCCAGTTACAACTGTATTTATATCATGTTACAATTGTCTTTTATAGACACTTATTTATGGATAAAGTTTGTTTAGAAAACTAACTCCTATTAAATATAATAAAATTTACATATCGTCAATATGTACAATTTTTTATAAAATATAATATGATAATCTTATAATAATCTTATTATTATAGCAAAATTTATTATAATAAGATATATAATAATATATATTATAATTAATTTTTATCATAAATATTATATATTAATTTTGTTTATATTTCATTGATAATGTTCATTTCTCTTGCAGGTTAAGATTAGAAACAGGTTAAGTTTATTCCTAACCTCAATTTTCGCAAAGAATAACAGGGAATAAACCGGAGCAACTGAAACAGCTGATCAAGTTGATGTCGGTTTAAACCGTAAATTGTTATTAATAATATCTAAAAGAGTACCAACAAATTAATTATGATGACGAAATTCCATATCATAAAAAATTAGAAAAAGCATTAAGAAAAAAAGAGAAATTATGTCTAAGAGATAAATATATTCCAAAACAAGAAAAGATAATTAGTTCTTTAATTTTAATTTTAAAAGAAAAATTAACCAAAATCATTGTGCAATTGAGAAATGACATCAAAAATTCTATTTCATGGGAGAAGCTGGATATTATGTGGTAAGCTGAACCTACTGAGTCTCAGATATAATCCTAATGGTACATGCAATGCTGCATCAACGTCCGTGTTGCCACCCGATAGTCCGATGAACGTGTTCGACAGGAATGCAAAGCTGTTGCAGCGCGAACGCGCCGCCAAAGATGCTAATGTCCAGTTGTATGATTACATTAAGGACGATGTGGGCGACAGGCTGGCAGATAGAATATTTGACATCAAACGAAAGTTTGGTAGAGTCCTCGATCTAGGATGTGGCCGTGGTCATGTGTCCAAACGGATTCTCAGCGAGTCTGTGGAGGAATTGGTGCTGGCCGACATGAGTTCGAGTCTCCTGCAACAGGCTGATATCACAGAGGATATAAAAGTCAAGAAGGAAGTCATGGATGAAGAGAATCTGTCTTTCGAGCCAGACAGTTTCGACATGGTGATCAGTTGTCTGAGTCTTCATTGGATCAATGATCTTCCTGGATGCTTTAGACGTATCAACAGTAGCCTAAAGAATGATGGAGTCTTCATGGCTGCTGTATTTGGTGGTGATACGCTTTACGAATTAAGGTAAAGACGATATTACCAGGTTTAAATCGGAGTTTTTCCAGATTTTATTTGCATTTATTATTTATGGTATTTATTTTGATAATATAGAAGTTCCTTGCAATTAGCTGAATTTGAGAGGTACGGTGGGATCTCGCCACATATTTCGCCATTCGTGCAAATCAGAGACATTGGGTCTTTACTAACGAGAGCGAACTTTACTATGTTGACTATTGATACTGACGAGATAGTCATTGGTTACCCAAGCATGTTCGAGCTTATGTGGGACCTGAAAGGTAAATAATGTTACACAAAATTCTTTACTTAATAAATATTATATAACAGGTGTGTAAATATATTATGTAATCTATTATCTAGGAATGGCTGAGAATAATGCAGCTAGAAATCGCAATTTGCATCTGTCGAGGGATACGCTAATCGCGGCCGCATCTATATATAAACAGCTTTACGGAAAAACGAAAGAAGATAACACAGCATTCGTTCCCGCCACGTTTCAGATAATATATATGTTGGGATGGAAACCGGACGAGTCTCAACCGAAGCCTCTTAGAAGGGGAACGGGACAAGTATCGCTCAAGGATTTGTACAGGCTCGATCAAATTGTTAAAGAAAGCAAGAAGATTAAACTGGATGACGATGATAAATAGCTTGTATTAAATAGTCTTTATTTGATCGCGCCTTGAACAATGTAAATAATACTCTATACCGTATGTAAAAACTTAACATGTATAAATTCTTCCTTTTGAATGATAAGCGTAAAAAATTAACTTATTCAACATTCGCATTTTGTTATTTCTGCCATTCTGCACGTTGCCACTTCACGATTTCTTTTCCTCGTCTTTGTGAACTACAATGCCCTTTTCTATAAGTTCTGGAATCTCTACTGCTAGCCATGGTCCCAACTGAAATAAAGAAATAACTTGGCGCTAGAATTTGTTATGAAAGTACCTTAATATAAAAGTTTATAAGTCTTTTAAACCTTCGGAGCTGATATGGACTTAATTATAAATTTCTTTATAAAAAGTCAATTCCATTTTCTTTATGTTATATCTGCAAATTTTGATTATTTTTACTAAAATATATTTATTAATTCTTTCTCATGTAAGTTATTTTGGTTTCTTGAAATAAATTAGTGTCTTTTATTATAATTAATATAAATTAAGCAGATTTTGTAGACCCAATGTCAGTAACTGTGTTACAGATTTTATCAAAAGCTTCGAAGGATTAATGCTTTCAATTATTAAATATATGCAATCAAATATTTAGCTTACACCAAGAGCCATTGCATGAGCAATGCCAAACTTGGGAGCATTGCGAGCCCATAATGGTTTGAAGTGATCAGTCAGGCAGATCTTACCACCTCTATACATTTTTGCAGTTTTACCATCCAATTCTGGTAAAGCAATTTCAGGTGCTGTTGTGGGATATGTGATGGGAATCTAGAATTGTCCAAGAAAAAAAACTGTTAATTAAATGTTTTAAACATTGATTTATTTTTAGGTTTTAATAATTTTAACTTTTTTATTATAATAAATATTGACAAAATATTATTCAAATAGGATTCTACATCAAAGGTAATATTTTTCCATTTTCTCCTTAAATAAAAAATACAGTAAGAAAAAAGCAGCTACTCACATCAAATTCTATCTCAAATTCATACTTCAGGAAATTCTGAATGTACCAGCACTTGCCAAACCACTTAGTGCCTTCCTTGTTTGATTCCAGCCGAAACCAGTCATTATCCGCTTCTTTGTTATTTTTGACATACTACAACAATAAAAAAAGATTATATAATATGATTAAATCTATGTATTTTTTTTTTAATTGGAAGCTTCCTTTGTACTGATTGGATTGTACTTTTAGATTCAGACTATCTAGAGTTTATAGAGGAATATAGTCTGAGAGGAGAAAACTTCCAGTAGAAAAAGCAACTTTACAACTGTTGTAAAATTCTTTCATATGATTGGTCTAGCACTTAGTTCCTCACTGGATCTAAATGTATAAATCAATCATATTTAAGAATTTTACAACAGTTGCAAAGCTGCTTTTTCTGTTGAACACAGCCATTCTGAACGTAGTTAATAATTATAAATCTATTTATTTCATAAAATATTTTTAGAGTAAATGTGTGCTGATTAATAATGTGTTTCATCACATAAATTAATTCCTAACGTTTATAAATTAAAAATTAAATTAAATTATACTATTTATAAATTAAGTAACACGAAAACTATTCCATATGGAAGTGTGACATTTATAAGCTTGCAAGTGAAAGAGTCGTATCAATTCTCTCACCTTAATCAGAGCCTGATATTCCTCTTTCAATCTCTGCACCCATAAATCCTTGTCTCTGGGGCCGGCTTTCGTTTGCAATAATGGAATATTACTCAAAGTCTTCTTCGTCGACTCGTCAACCATCTCAACGGATTAACGTTTCAGTTTACCTTGAAGGTTATGGTGCTACTTGCTGTCGCATGACCAGTGTCGCCAACTTAAAACGTTGCACCACGTTGCAGTCGTTGCACTTCTTCGAGAGTTGTGCGATAACAACTGAGGGAAAAAATAGATAACAATTAATGCGCATCCCTCTAAATAACTACGATAAAAGGTGCAATTTGTTTTCTCGCTTTTACAATCTCACTTTTAGGTTGTTTTTATGGTGCACTCGTCCTTCAATCGATCGATTGCATTCGTAAACGGTTGCATCGGTTGCATCCCTGTGACTGCCGCTTAAACAGGCGTGTTGTACCCGGTCGTGTCGTCGTTCCATTTGGTTCCATTTATGCGAAGGCTGTAACACTGAAAGATACGAAGAAACGAACGCTCGTAAGTGGCGATGAGATGCTAATCGACCATCAATAACGTACTTGTGATTCGGAAAAAATTCGAACGCATGATGGCTGATTCGTCTTACGAGAAAGGATTAACTGAACTGTCGAAGATGAAGGTGAATGTTATAAGTTAACTCTCCTTGTTTCGCACAACTTGCTGTTTCTCGGTGATATTCTAATCAAGCTTCCTCGAGCCTAGAAAGTCGAAGCTTCCAATTGCTCCAATTGCTCCAATTACTCCAATTACTCCAATTACTCCTGATCACACTCACTTCCGCTGTCGATTTTAACATAGACGGTCACTGGTGTGTGTGTGGTCGATGTTATTACTGGTTATAATATATACAATTACTTAGAATTGTAAGGCTATTATATTTGTTTTAATAGTAGAAAAGCGTGACAAAGTGTACCAGCAAACAAATGGGTACTCTTTCATTTGTAGTAGATGATATTTAATTTTATCACATTGTTTTTATTATAAAATACTTGATGAAAAAAGTCATCAACAGAAAGTCAGTTAAAATATACTTGTAAAACTATAACTGTCTTTAGTAAGAGAAATAACTAAGTGTACAAAAACAAATGGATAGTTTTATTTATTGTATCTAATATTATAATTCAATTTTGTTTCTCATTGTTCTTATCATAAAATAATCATTATATATAAACAGAAAGTCAGTAAAACATGCTTGTAAGATATGGGCAGTATTCACAATTGATTCTTATTTTAAGACCTTAATTAATAAGTCTTATGGGCTTTCTACAATAAGCCTTTACCTAAATTTTAAGTCTTATGCTGATTCTGTAATGAGTCAATAGTTGGTAGTTAAGTCTTATCAGTGAAGTTGACCAATAGCCAACTTGTACGACTAACACTAATTGGCCAACTTTACTGATTAAGACTGGTCATTTCACATTCGACTGTAATTGGCTTAAGGCTTAAAGTTTTTGTAGTGACTTATCATAGAAAAAAAGTTAAAATACGTTTGTAAAATTGTGATTATCTTTAATAATAGTAGAAAAGCATAATAATAAAATATACTGGCAAATAAATAAAAAAATAGATACTTTGATTTATAGTAATATTATAAATCAATGTTATGTCTCATTATTCTTGTTACAAAAGAATTTTCTTGGTGAACAGAAAGTTAGTTGAAATATGCTTGGCAAATGAAACCATGTTAAGTTTCTGTTTCAATTATAATATGTATAATTTCCTCTTTGCAGATCACAACTCCCATAATTTTTTTCTCATAATCTCTGTAGTTTTAATTAATTACAATTTTTGCAGTTAAAATAGGATGAAGCATAAGCCATTTCACAACATTTAAAAAAATTTTTTTAATTTCTATAACATTGCTGTATCTTTCAGGTAGCTGATCTAAGGGCTGAATTGAAACAACGAGGACTTCCCACTACAGGCAATAAAAATGAATTGGTGGAAAGACTCCAGCTAGCAATTCACGGAGGTTCTGTTTTTGCTCTCTCATTTCAATTCTTTCCTTCAATATAAATATCTTAGGCATATTTTTGTGAAAGAATTATTTATATTTTATAGATGCTGCATTGTCTTTGGATGAAACTACGGAAGAGATTTTAGATGAAGATGAAGTACTTGGCGTAAGTGTACTGTATAGATGTTACAATATTAATAATAATAACTTATAATAATTAATAATAAACTTAAATATTATATATATATATAAATAATATTATTATATAATATTAACTTCTATTTTAAACACATACATAAGAATTTTGGATTATTTACAGGATGAAGAAATAGAAGAATTATCAAGTAAGCCAGACTCACAAGAGACCCCTGAGAAGCGAAAATTGTCTATAGATAATATAACCAACAATTCCAATGCAAAAAAGATAGTGCTAAATCGCAAATCTGTATTGGAAGAAATAAAGAATGACCAAATGGAGAAGAAGGAAAATAAAGGAGCGAAAGAGATCGAAAGTGATGACGCCCCGCCAGAGAAAAAAATTATTAAACTATCCGAGCTCAGCACAAAAGAGGTAGCTAAAAATTATATTATTGTTATCCATTAGAATTTAGATCACCAAGTAATAAAATTCATTTGCTTCAAACACACGATGCAAACGCGCTTGTTTTATATTATATTATTTATTAATACATAAGTGTATTAATTCTTTAATAGAGATTGGAAATGAGAGCTAAGAAATTTGGAATGCCATTATCCGAGGCGGCAAAGAAGGAGGCTAGATTAGCTCGTTTTAACGTAAATAATCAAAATAATAAATCGGCTGCATCCATAAAGACACCCGTGGTAAGCAATTTATAATTTACTATATAGTTTATGTTATCAAGATAAAATAATAATTTATAGAATTATTTTATGACAATTATCAATAAATTTTTCATAGCCTACTACATATGAAGTATTGAAGAAACGTGCAGAAAGATTTGGTACCTCAGTATCTACTTTGATGGAGAAGGTAAGCAAAAATAGAGCTAGACCATGACATACAGAAAAACCTAAACAGAGGCTTTCTACAATAAGCCATTATCTAATCTTTAAGTCTTAAGCCATAAGACATTTGTTAATCACAATCGAATGTGAGAAGAATAATCGACTATAATTGGTCAGTTTCTTACGGCTTAAGACTTAAGTTTAGGTAATGGTTTATTGTAAAAAGCCTTTAAGCAGTAAGGAAATCAATATGTTGGATTTGCCACTGTTTACGTTATGACCTTAAGGTTTTTACTGTGATTAGTCGATTTGTTTATTGCTTATGTTTTACTGCTTAAGTTTTTTTGTATGCTATGGTTCTTAACTTTGCAAATATATGTATACATTTTGAAAACTTAGGCTGTCGTACTATAGCACAGATTTTTCCCATAATATCTATTGTGTAATTAGAAGCATTATGCGTTATGTAAAACTCATTTCCATATCCTATGGAATGTATTACATATTTGCCATCAATAAATTGCGACTTTTGCTATTTCTGTTAGAATAGTCTAAAATAATATAATTGGTTATTATGTACTCTATCGAATTTTTTAGTGTTTCATGGAACATATGGAAATTGAGTTCCACATAACAGTAAACATATAACGTCTCTAATTACATTACGTAAAAAATCACGGGACGGCACTTGTATTTATTTTTACCAACATAAATTAACTGTAATCTCTGTTTAACTTTTTTTTTACTTTTCATTTTTATCTAATTCCTGGAACTAAGAAAAGATAAAAAGTACGTTACACTAAGATTAAAGTTAATCCATATTGGTAAAGATGGGCATTACGGCGACTTTGACCAAACTTCAATTATTTAAATCGATAATTAACTCTATCAACAAAAATTACAGAATCGTTTAACACAAAGTCTCTAATATACAGTTCGTTATTCTTAATCTTTTTTTGCTATATTAAATATTCTAATAACTAATATAAGTTTTGTATTTATATTACTTAATAAAATAGTTAATTAACTTAATCAGAGTTTTGATCGCCCTTATATATATCATTTTTCTATCACACTGATTTTATTTTAAATCTTTTGTTTCTTTAGGTTGAGATGGCTGAACGATTGGAGAAAAGAAAGGCCAGATTCGGTGAAGTGAAACCTGAGAATAAACTATCTAAGAATAATTATAAGATTAAGATTGTTAAATGATACTCGGTGTTATATACTAAATCAACGATCTAGATTACAAAAAAATCTAATTTAAGTCTTATTTTAAATAAACTATTATACATACGAGAGAGGAGAATAATGACTCATTGAAGATAATGTATAATACTTTTTAATACCATTATTACTTCAATATTAAAGCAGTCATACTTTTTTTCCTTCGTTTTTTTTTATATTACCTTATCACATGTGAATTTCTTGTAAGAAAATAGGCGACAGAAATCTTAAAAATGTAGATGGATGTATTACACCAATAAACTTACATATGCAACAGTATTTTAATCGTATTAGTCATCAATACAAAGAATGTTATTTAAAATTTCAGGATTTTAGGACTTCAAGTGTGAAAAGAGTATGCAAACGTATAATATGTATACATGATAAAAAATTAATAAATTATAATAAGGTGGACTGTGTTTAAAATTTACTGCCAGCACTGAAAATGCTACAGTTTATATGCGTATATAGATTTTTAGTACTGGCAGTAAATTTTGGAACACAGTTATAGAACAGTGTATTGTTTATCTGATCAATAAATATGATATATATTCTATTTTGAAGGTTTCTCTATGATTATACTCTATTATACTATAATCAAGTAGAACCAAAATGGCGGATAGGAATATCTACTTAATATATATATATTATAATAATTTACACCTTGTTTGAAGATACAGAATCGACCCCCAGAGCTCTGATTGAACGGTTCGTTATTCTCTGTTGCCATTGGGTGCTTTCCATTTGATGACACAAGTCGACACAAGTGTCGTTCTATCTTTATCACTCTCTGAATGTCAACGAGGATAGAACGACGCTTGTGCAGACTTGTGTCATCAAATGGAAACCACCCTGTGCCTATTGTGTTTAAATCTTAAGCCAATATGAAGCAATGGGTACATCCAGAAGCACGACCGCGGACCGCTCAATGAGCGCTCAATGAGCGGTCGTGCTTCTGGATGCACCTATTGATTTCAAAATGCAATCTTCAGATTGACTGTCGCAACAAACTTGCGATCGCTTACAACTAAAGCCTGTATCAGACTACCGACTCTACAAGCCGACCCGACTGCCAACTCTGACTGCCGACCAATAATGGACCAATCACAATGATACTGATTCAATGTGATTGGTCCATTATTAGTTGAATACACATTCTTTTTGCATTCTGACAAGTGAGACACAACCACAGTCGGCGGCCACAGGTGTCGCTGTCACATGTGCAGCTACATGTAATATGCAGCTGCGATCACAATATGGCTGCTTCACTTAGGAGGAGATACCTAATCAGAATACGTATCAGACTACCAATCAGAAACTCGGACATCAATGTCGCTTCTCTCTATATATAGGACTCTAGTCTGTAAGTCTGTACAGTATAGGAAAAATCACACTTTTTTTTAAACCGGCATGTGTTTTTCTAATAATTGTCTCCGAAAATATTTGATTTATCTCTGTCACATGTGCAGCTACATGTAATATGCAGCTGCGATCACAATATGGCTGCTTCACTTAGGAGGGGATACCTAATCAGAATACGTATCAGACTACCAATCAGGAACTCGGACATCAATGTCGCTTCTCTCTATATATAGGACTCTAGTCTGTACAGTATAGGAAAAATCACACTTTTTTTTAAACCGGCATGTGTTTTTCTAATTGTCTCCGAAAATATTTGATTTATCTCGGATTTCTGTCATAATAGAACGGCATTGAACAACATTTTTAAAGACTGCGTAGGAGCGTTTGATACGACGACATGCAATTTTTGCAAATGTCAATTTACATTGTAGCTTACCTGTGTGTGTTCTTCTTGAAGGTTTATTGTGAGAAGGATGATGAGATACCGTGAGTATTTTTGGTGTCTAGTGCACATTTTACTGCCAGAAATAAGTTCATTGCGTATTACTTAAACAATACATTATATATTATATATTTAGCATAATTTTTTCCAAGCTATATGCTTGCCAGTATTTTCGTCATTACTTTTAAATAAACAAGATCCATTCACTGCATACAATTACAAAAGTTTTCCTGCAAGACATAAATATATTAATTGCATTTTTATGTAAACATAAACATATGAGTATTTTTATTTTAGATCTTCTACATGAATGTATTTTTTATTTCAGATCCACTCCTGAGCTCACAGAAATACAATCATTCTTCTACATGTTTGCAAAAGAAGATTTAACTAGGTATAAATTATATTATTTTATATAAGATATAAAATTTTGAGGTACAAAATAAATCATTTTCCTTTAAATTTTAGTTCAGTAGCAGAGACAGAGAAGAATCAATCGCTCACCATATCACAATCGTGTAGTTATAGAGAACCAGATGAACGAAATACTCAGGAAGCAATTTTCTACAAACGTTTGATTGCCATATTATTATCAAAGCTTGAGATGCAAGTAAGTTGCTGTATATAATTGGAAGAGTCAAGCCTAAAATCATTTGTAATAACTTGATAAACTCAATATAAAAATTTCTTATTTATATACAATGGGATAAAATTTGCTTGCAGAGAATTGATGATAGATTAGTTGGAACGCTTAATATAGAAGTGTTTTCTTCAGAACTTGAATACTTGCGGAAATTTGTGAACGGTCAAGGTTCTATCAGAGAAGTTGACAGAATTCTTATCAATGCGATAACAGGATCTGAATACTCAGCATGCGACTATATAGCTAAAGCATTTTATTATTTCAATTTACTTTTGAGTAAAACATCAGAGAATTTGATACATTATATATCACTTATGAAAGATTTGACGTATTATATATCACTTATAAAAGACCACGTAAGAATAATTTAGTATATATATATATATATATATATAAAATATTAAAAGATACATTTTATATTTTGAGTTTATATATCTAGTAATGTGGATCTGATTAACATTCTAAATTGTTTCAGTGGGACATAACTATAATCTTCTTTACAGTCATAGCTAGTTTTATGATTTTGAGGAGGCAAAAATGGTCTCGAGGTTTACTTATCTTTCTCATCATTGATGTTATATTTGTAATTAGTTTTGTCATAAATTGGTGGCGACTTGTACAGGTAATTTATAGTGTAATGAAATGTTTTGAAGATTCGTATATACTTGTACTTGGAACGAAATGATGACTGTAGATATTTTATTTTAAAAGTTGTTTTATTTTGCAGGAAGCAGAAATTAAATTAATGGCAGCACAAGCACAATTTAGAGAAATGCCAATTGCTTGCCAGCCGCATAAAATGAATTTCTGGGACAAGATGGTTGAGTGGCTTTTTCGTAAGTACTATTTATAATATAAGATGTATTCGAGACATTAATGTATTATTTGTAAGTAGAAATCTATTTATAGCTACAAACAATTGTGAAAAATACTATGAAACGATTATGACGAATCCTAGACTGCAAGTGACACCAGCACTTGTATTGACTAATTTGCTCACTACGGTTATTTTTCAACCTTTAACATACCTTGGACTTGTTATATCTGAATTTGTAGATAATGCTACCGGTGAGTATTGTAATTTGTTTTATTGTCAATATGTACAGAGGTTTAATATTGACTTATTAACTACGTCATGCATTGTTTCATAGGTAAATTAAACTTTTTGTACAAGTTTCCCATCATAATTGCCCTTTTCTTGAGCATCTGCATATGTATTATATTGATTCCGTTTTCCTGGATTGGTGGATCTATTAATTTCGGTTTTGGACCATTCTTCAAATTTGGAATGAAAGGTAGACAAAATTCTAATAAAAATCAAGAAGACCACATTGAGAGGATTTATGAGGTATTAACTATATTTTTATTATGTTTTAAATTATAAATTTTTTTCGTTAGGTTGGTTTTAAATTAGTTGTAATATTCAGAAAAAAATATATATATAATACAAAATTTTTATAATATAAATACATTCAAATCTATATACATACATATTTTTATTACAGGAAGTTTCACTAAAAAGGAGGTTGAAAGATTCAGGAAAAATGAAACAAATTACCTTGGGACAAGATAATGGTAATGCTCTAAAGAAAATAGCACGATATTTGTAATTTCTAATTTTTATAAGTACTGAAATTATTATTATTATTATTGCATAGATCTTGCTGGAGGCGATGCCGACATGCATCATTTAGTAAGATATAAAAAATGTCAGTGTGAAAAAAAACCAGATGAAGATGTGGAATGTATCAAGAAAGAAGAGAAACTACTACCTTACTAACAGCTCGCACCGTTGCGTATATAATACTTCTCTTATGATTTTACGTTTATCTTACCTTATTGGATACAATTTGGTGCCTCATCCATACTAACGGGGACACTAGAATCCGTCCGTTTTTTTCATCTATTCAGAATGATTCAAAAAATCTGTAAAAATTTACCAACATGCTTTCAACTTTCTAGAATAAATATTGGCACTTCATTTTGGAAAATAATAAAATGTATAATTTTTATAATTACCGAAACATTTATAATTACTCAAAGAAACTTGCACGAATAGGAATCGCTCGGTGACTAGTGACCCCCTTTAGTAGGGTAAGAGTTAATAATTATTTATTTTTTAAATTAATAATTAATTTTTATACTAATAATCTATAAGCATATTGCGCTATATTTAAAATGATAAGTGTATTTTATTTATCTTATAATGATGGAAAAATGATGGCCATAAAAGTTATTAAAATTAGTATATTTTATTTTAGTATATCGAAAATATTGAAATTTATGTTATTGTACAAAATAAATACAATAATAGGGCATATCAGAGTTAATACACAATTAAATTATATATTTAAAAAACGAAATATTACATGTTTCGGTTTTAATATTAGACTCTCTTCAGATGTTTGCTAGATAGTGGGTCTAATATTAAGACCGAAACATGTAATATTTCGTTTTTAAATATATAATTTAATTGTGTATTGACTCTTATATGCCCTATTATTATATTTATTTTGTATTATTATCAAGAGTCCTTCATTATTATTGTTAATTATGTTATTGTATTATAAAATGGATCTACTTTTCATATTTTTCACACTAATCTATTTTAGTATCTCACTTATAGGAATTGTACTATTCCAGATAGCCAAGCGAGATTTAGCATATGGGACAAATTAGTGCACTGCATGTGTTGTTTTCAACTTGTCGACAATTTGCTGTCATTGGAATCTAATGTGAAACTGAGTTAGCATCAGGAGGGCAAATAGACTTCATGAGTTTATGAAATTATGAGTATACATTGAGAATAGACTTTATAAATAAATTTGATAATAAACTCGTCATGTTGATAGCAAACTGACGGCACGCTTACGTCTTACTGCACGCATGATGATAACTTGCCAGCAGTTTGCTGAATTCTAAGGAAGACTACGTGACGTCAGAACAATAGACAGTTTGTGGAACCACCTTGGCTTTAGTTTGGTGAAATTGAATGCGGAATAAGTGACAACAAAATGGCAATACATTGCCCTTATTTGGCTATCTGGGATCTTTCTTAATGCATAGGTGCGCTGCGAATAATTGGTGCGAGAACATATTTTTATAAAAAAGTATTGTTACTTGTTGTGATAAATTTTGTACCTTAATCGTAAAATAATATTTATCAATTAGCGATTACATATGTACCTTGATGAAAATAAAAATCAGAGCGTAAGTCGAATGTAATAGGAGAGTAATAAAAGCGTAAACGAAATTTCTACGAGGCGAAAATTGAAACATCAAAATGTAAAAGAAGCGTAAATGCTTCTTTTATATTTTATTGTTCCAATTTTCTCCTTCTAAGAGTTTCGTTTACGTTTCTGTTACTCTCCAATTACATCCGATTTATGCTCCGATTTTTATTTTCATCAAGGCAGGTATTACTTTGTTATAGCTTATTCATAGTACAAGTACCTTAATAAATGATACATTGACTACTTAACATAATGCTTTACTACAACGCCTATTGCATATTTAATTGCTGAGAATTAATAAATTGCAAATGCTATTCGCGCAAATTGCACGGGATGAATGAACGATAAATGCGGCAGAAATGAAAACATTCTGTTGTTCGACTGGTAGCCTAGCGGCTGCGCTTTATGTCAACTCAGCTTAATGATCGGTGAGCAAGCAAGGATTTGTCAAATTTGCTAGATGTAACGTCTGCGTTCCTTGTGTAATTTTACCCATTCTCTGTGTACTCGCGGACAAACGATCTAGTTGTAACTGAACGAAAATTATCTTATCGAAAGTATGACGTTTAGAAAATAAAAACGTTGCAAAAATCGAACAAGAAATTATAAAACTTTTCTATTTTTCGATTTTATTTTGAAATAATGCAATCGGAATCCGTTTATTGTATCATGTTATGGAGGAATGTAGAATATAGAATTTATATCGTTAAAAAAGCGCGATGTATACTTTTCACCAACATTACATACTATTCTCGTTTTATTTGTTTTCTTTTACGCAGAATGTAATTAAATGTCATTTACTATACGTATAAAAAACCGTATAATGGACGTGTACCATTAAAAGATTTTAATAAAGTGCGATGTGTTCTTGAGTAAGAAAAAATACCTTTCTGATGTTTGCGACAATTTATTTTCTCTAGCGTTCCCCCCACGACGAGATCATCCTCATTGAATTAAAATAATATTAGACCGTAGCAAATTTGACGACGGATTGAACGTCGTTTATTTTGGGAACTCGTTAATTACCGTCGAGTAATTTGCAAGGAATACACTAATTAGTGTCGAAGGTTGTGTACACGAGTGGTTTCTTTTACCAGCGAAAAACGCAGCCGAAGAACTTTGAAAAATAGAGAGAGCGTCCTCTGTTTTTTTTCTACGCTCAGGCAATTTTTCACGATATCGATCCTCCTTTTTACCGAAGTAAACTTTTTGCGATTTGAATTTGAGAGCATTAAAAGGTGCAATATTGCAAATGTGTACCCCTTTTATAGTCATCGGATTTCAATCCGTTAATGAGTCGTGAGTGAGGTATTGCATTTCCACTGGAAGCGTACATTTGCCGAAAGTAGGAACGCATTTCGGGCTTTTCATTACGCAAGATTTATTGCAAAATGTCACGTCCCCTACTTCTATTCATTTTCTCTACATACATCTATGCTAAATAAAATTGAATATATATGTAGCAAAGTAAATTAATGTATATACATTTATAAATTATAGAACATAATTAAACGTAGGATAAATAAATTATAGGTATTATATGAAAATGTAATTAAAGCTTGTGCTAAAAAAAATGTTATATTCTCAGAAACTCTGTTTTTCTTTTCTTCATCGGACAAATACACATATCGTATGTACTGAAGGAACATTGCGAAAATACTATTTTTCACGAGCACAAAATGGATTGCAGATTAACGCAAAAAGATTATATTCTTTTTGTACTTATTAAGTAATAAGTACATATGAAAAAGTATTATCTTGTTGCGAGATTCTCTCGATTGGGATTGTAGTATGTTTTTTGTCGAGTCTTTTCATTTATAAAATTAATTGTATGCATATATAAATTAATTAAAACTTTAAATTTGAATCAATACAACCAACGCTAAACTAAAATTAATTTATTGTTTAAAAAGGATATGAGTATATATCAGAAAATAGATATATTTAATACTGCGTTAAAACAATGGTGATTAAAATTGTTTGAATTCGTTCTAGTTAATTATAAACGTAAATACTATTTTAAAATTTAGTTTTATTCTCTTTCATTAGCTTACCTAATGAAATTAAAATCTAAAATTTTATTTATTTTTATTATTTAACGAAGGTAGAAATATTAGATCAAAACGCGTTTATTTTAAATATTCAATATTGCTGAAGCGCCGGCGACTATTTTATTAATAAAAATAGTATTTGAAATTCTTGTAATTTCTATGATATATTTCGTAATTCTATCTATTTTAAAATACGATTTTACTGTCAATTAATTTAACAAATATGATTAAAACCTGAAATTAATTTTCTATAACAAATTCAAATTTAATTAGAAAAGAAAACGTTTCAAATATTCAATATTATAGATATTCACAGAAGCATTAGTGATTATTTCATTATTAAAATGGTTCAAAATTGTGGCTATCACTTCCGGTTTCTGATTGAGCTTCTATATACATTCACGAGATATTACGTGAATATTATTATTATTATATAATAATATTATAAATAACGATCTCGCGATCTCGCATATATTTGCTGGCGTTGCTTTTCAGTCCCGGTCTCGGTACAGATTTATGCACCGTTCGTTCTATCAAATATTTGTTCTCGCGTTGCTGCTGGTACCACGGTGGTATTTGCCTGGAAAGGATGCACCTTTCGGTTCCCGTCGACCTGGTGAGCTCCATTACATGCCCGAAGTAATACCAAAGAGAGATGGCCAAGCCGGTGTTGTGTGTTGCGTCTAGTTTCGCCGTTTGCGAAGCGGCACCCGCTGGCGGCTGCACGAAAGTGCAGCGTGTCAGTTTAGGGGAGTTTGCGTGTTGTTCACGTGCAACTGCCAGCTAGCCCTAAGTTCCTCGTAATTTCGCGAAACTCCCGCGCAAAAATTGCCGGTGACGCGCCCGAGCTGTTGACTACCGCAACATGTATAAACGAAATTTTTTCGCGCGGTAACGGCAGTTTAAATTATAGTTTTCACTTTCTTTTCAGTCGGAAGTTTTCCATTATTGTGATATACGTGCGCATTGCGTGAGAAAGGAAATTTATATCTTATCCTGTATACACTTTCTCTTTTAACGCTGAGACATTCCTTGGAATTAAATCAATTTCTATAAAGAACGGTACATAAATTATACATACACACACAATGATTTGGTTACATGGATAAGTCTGACTGATTCTTATTTGTTTTAAATATTTTTATATTCTGATTTTTAATGTCAAGAATTTGTTCTATGGGTTCCAATTTTTTCTAATCAATTTATCTTTAAAAAAACATACAGTTTGCTAACAGTTCTCAATGATACTTTTTCTTAATTAAAATGATTTCCCGGGAAAAATGTTTCATGTATAATTATATATAGTTATATAAAATTATATAAAATTCTATATAATTATATAAAAAATTGACATATTTTATATGCTATTATATATAATTGTATATAAAATGTGTCCATATACATAATTTTTTCCGGATTATTTTTTTAAATTAAAACGATTTATTCGAAAACTTTTATAATAAGTAGAAAATCATGTTATAGTTCAGTAATTATTCCTTTATTATGAATTATTTATTTATTCTAAGTAGAAAAGATCAAGGGAAATATGTAGAGGAATTTCCAAATGTTATTTAAAAGTTCTGCTCTTCTCATAAATTTGGAAAACAGATTTGAAATTAACGTAAAAATATAAGGAAATAAATAATACAAGGAACGCCCTCTCAGATCAATTTAACATAAAAAAAAG